GACTTGGAGAAGGAGACTGAGTCCAGGCTTCGGACCACTGTCATTCTGCTGATCCTTTTTCGCTCAATGTGGAGATTGTCTGTGTCATGGATGCGGTCAAAATGCTAATGAAATGTGGCTGATACGCAGAGCTCTCCGATGAAGTGCTGTCGACGACGAAGTTCCAGATGCTGCAACCCGCGTACATCGCCAAGACGCGTTACTGCCGTTTGCAGCTCTCCTTCATCGAAAGAAGTGGTGTATCAACGTGTTAGCGGTCACCTGGTCAACCTTCACTGGCAGCACACTGAACACGCCGGCTTCGCAAGGGAGAAGGCTCGTAACCCGCAGGCGATTGAGGTGGTACTGAAGGGTGTCTTTGCTTCGGTTGATCTGGAAATGATCATTGACCGGCTGGTAACTTACCCGCTGAAGAGTACTAATCGCCCGGCCTTTGTGCGCTGCTCCAACGTCCATCGTCTTCTGCATCCAGTCACTGGCGCAGACACAGACATGGTCAAGGGACTGGTTTACCTGCATCAGGGTGATCAGCGTAACTGGATCCACGCAGTCGCAGACCCGGCTGACCGTGCCAGGAAGATCCTGCTCCACTACCCAACCTTGTCCTGCTCTCTCTGCGGGGGACAACATTATGATAAGTATCATAATGTTTTCACCGTAGAGCGTCAGTATAATGTTGGGAAATGGAATTTGACTCGGGGGAAAGTGCATCGGTTGAATGGTAATGTCACTTCGCCTACCTTTTCGGCGCTCTCCAGGTCGTCCTTTTACATACCTCTTTATTCTCATACTGACGACCGCTTTGACACATGCAGCTGCTTCCCAGAAAGCATCCACGCTGAACCTCCCTCTTCTCCGCGATCCTGCACTGGCCCTGATTTCCATGGGAAGCAACCGGGAGGAATGGCTTTGTAACCAAGCCGGCTGCAACAAAGCACATGGGGAGAGTTTCATGTCAGCCTTACATCACATCAGGCTTGCTTCGCACATGATCGAGCTGGAGAAGCTGGGCTCTGCCACCAAGATCTCCCTCGAGAAGTCCAACCTTGCCGCCATGAAGAAGTTGTACGATCTCTGAAGCTGACACTCACCCGGTCCTTCGCCGTAGCAGTCGGTTGTTCAGCCTTAGCTAGCCTCACCAGTGTAGTCGTTCTTTCCAACCTGTGGATGCAGAGGGGCTGCTAGTCAGTGGTCAAATGAATCACAACCACCTTCTCACCTGTGCGGGTCTCAATGCCAATGGCCTTAGTAATATTTCAAAGCAAACCAAGATATCGGAATGGGTTAGTGATGCAGCCGACATAGTAGTCCTGATTGACACCCGGATTATAGCGACTCACACATACTGGTCATCCTCTCTCTTCCAGACAATAGCGACAACCTCACCTCAATCTAGAGCAGGCAGAATAGCCGTCCTTAGCCGAAACCAGTCTTTAAACTTCACCAATATCCAGACACACCCCTCCAACCGCATTATCAGAGTTGATGTCGCTAGTCCCGGCCTTACCATCACCCTTTTAGCAGTATAATTCTCGGCAGACCCAAGCTCGCGAACCTCCTTTGTCGCTGATGCACTTGGCCCGGTTATTGATCAGATCCCCAGTAGCGACAAGACATCTGGGAAGGGTACAGCCACTGAAAACGTTAAACTATATGATCGATGCAAGATATTTCAGCTTTCCGACGCCTTCCGCTTAGCTCATTCTAGAGAACGCGAATACACATATTACTCACACTCACAGAAGGCGAGCTCCCGCATTGACCGCGCTCTCATATCCCTATCCCTCCTCCCTCGACTAGAGTTAGCCAAACACGTCTCTCCGTTCGAGAAAGTATCAGACCACGGCTTTGGGACTAAAGTTGGTCTCAAGACAGATGCCAGAGTACACACTGGACCAGGACTGTGGAGGATGCAAGCGGCGTTGCTGAAAAGACCAGGGGTGAGGAAGAACATTGAAGAAGTGACGCAAAATTTTGAGGTGACAAATGGTCGCAGCTATGAGCTACTGATTGCAAGGCTAAGTGCTGGACTGAAATCGTACATGACAGAGGAGCGGAAGAGGGTTCGGGCTACTTGCCTTCACCTCACTGTGTCCCTGTTGGCGTTGAGACAGGAGGCCATGGCTCACCCACTGTGCACCAGACGGAGAGAGTTGCTGGGAGTTAGAGAGGCGCAAGTCAAGGATTACCATGCATCACGGAGGGACATGCTTCATCTCATGGCTGGATTAAAGGTGGAGTTCTTCGGAGAAGTCTCGTCGAAAACGCTCTCATCGACGGTTAAGGCGCGAAAAGGTCGTACGCAGATCACGGAACTCCAGGCTGATGGCGGGATGGTATCAGACTCGAAGCAGATCCTGGAAGCAGCGTCGGGCTTCTTCCATAAGCTCTTCGGGAAGGATCGGAGGGTGGACTTCTCTAACTGGTTGCCGAAGCGTAGGCTCTGTGAAGCAGAAGCGGGGGGATTGGTAGCAGACTGGTCAGAATAAGAAGTGAAAGCGGCTTTCAAGTCGCTAGCGAGGAACAGATCACCGGGTGCGGATGGCTTACCGAAAGAACTTTTTGAAGAACACTGGGATGTGCTCGGCAGCAGCTTCATGGCGCTGGTAGAAGATTTCACCGCAACTGCTGAGCTCCCGGATAAAGTGAAGGAGGCGGTCACCATTCTCCTGCATAAGAAGGGGGACAGGAGTCAGCTCAACAACTATAGGCCCATCACGTTGTTGAATTTCTCCTACAAGAGTTTGGCGAAGGTGCTGGCGGACACGATTAAGAAGGTTCTTCACCTGGTGATCTCCCCGGAGTTGTACGACTTCATTCCCGGGCGAAGGCTTGCTGATGCCGTGGCGCTGGTAGCGGACATTATTGACGCGGCAAAGAACGGGAACAAGGACTGGTACTTGCTTCTGGTGGATTTCCAGAAGGCCTTTGATTCGGTATCGCGAAGCTTTCTCTTCAACATTCTTCGCGAGATAGGGTTCCCGCCCCGATTTGTGGCTTGGGTGGAGGGGCTGCACACACATACCACAACGAAGCTGTTAGTTAATGGCTGGATCGGGCAAGGCATTGATGTGGTCTCCGAGGTGAGACAGGGTTGTCCGCTGGCCCCGTATCTGTTCCTGTGTGTGGTGGAGCCGTTGGCACAAGAGGTTGAAAGGAAGCAGCTCGGGTTGAGTCTGGAGGGCCACCGGTTGTCCTACTTGGGTTACGCCGATGACACCACACTCATACTGCAAGGGGAGGAACACATAACACAGGGAACAAAGGAGTTTCTTGAGGAGTTTGAGAAAAGGTCGGGCCTTGCGACGAACAAAGGGAAATCGGTCATCTTACCACTAGGTGCAAACCTGGACAAAGAGCCGTCGGGGAGCTTCAAATGGGCGGAGCCAGACGAGGCAGAGAGACTGCTCGGTGTGTGGGTGACCCCGAGTGGTAGCGGCCTGCCAACGTGGGAGAAGGCACTGGGGGAAATAGCCAAGAGGCTGACGAAGTGGAAACAGAAGTTTCTCACCACCAAGGCAAGAGCCGCTGTTGCCAAATGCTATATCCAGTCATGGCCTTTCAGGCACAAGTATACCCCCCACCGGCGGAGGTCTTGAAGGAGCTGGAGAAGCTGATTCACAATTTTGTTTCGGGGAATAAGGCGACGACGGAGAAGGTTTTCACGCTCTGGAACAAGGACCTACTATACACAAAACATCGGGATTGCGGTCTGGGGGTGCAAGATCCTACCGTAATACTGACCTGCTTATCGGCCAGAAGGGTGGGTTTGCTGCTCACGGAAGCGAACGCGCTGAAGCGGGATTTGATGATGAGCGCCGCAGATCTCCCGATAGGCGTGGGCTCCTTTGGAGCTGTCACTGAATGAATGACAGCATTTGACCAGATACTCACTAAATGAATTTGGGCTGGCACGTTTTCACGAGCGTGACAGCTCCAATGCTGGCGACCCACTTTCAGGCCCCCAAGTCTCCACCCCATTTCAACCACCCCCTTGACCGCAAGCTCCTTGTTCAGCCGCCCCTCCACCTACTGTTGTCCCTGCAGAATCACTCCCGCCACCCCTTCACACCCCCCCCACACCAGCAGGCACGGCATCCCTACCGTCACTCCTTCGTCTCCCCACACCCTCCCTCCCTTTCTGCTGCACGCGCAGAAGGGAGAGGGAGGAGAAGGCGATAGGGGCTGCACATGCGGCTGCAGATGCGCGTGCAGCCACGCGCACTGCAGCCGCCACGGCAGCTGCGCATAACTGCGCGTGTGCGCAGCTGCAGTGCGTACAAGCGCTGTTGTGCGTGTGCGGGTGCGCGCGTGGCTGCCGCTGCTCGTGACAGGACGGGGCAGGGCAGAGCGCGGGACGGGTCGGGCAACGGGGCAACGGGGAGACGGGGCAGTGGGGATCAAACCGCCGGGGCGATGGGAAGCTGGGCACCGGGGCGAGGAGAAGCAAACTGCTAGGGCGACGGGAAGCGAGGCGCAAGGGCATTCGACGACGGCCGCGAACGAGCTCGGCGTTGCAATTGTCATGGCTGTCGCGCTAGGCGCCGCGACGAGCGCACCTCAGGAGCTGCGACGAAAACAACAGCGCGAGCGCGAAGTAGGCGCTATGTGTCAAACATTATATATATGTTATAGTTGTGTAGGCTATAGTGGGTTAGCCTTCTAGGGGGTACACTACTCTAGGGTTTGGTACTTGTATCCCCATCCTGTTTCTAGTTCATCATTTCTCGTTCATCCTTAGTTTCTAACACTATGGGAACGATAAATAAAAGGTCCTAGGTTGAACCTAGCTCTGATAACATGTCGAAATGGTAAACTTATGAAAGCGTAGGGTTTAGGCTTACGAAGGTAGCAAGGGGATGTGACAAGTACAGGTTATGGGCAAGAAACAACTGGTGCACCACCAACAACTTGCAACAATAAGCTACATCTACAGCTATATATATATATTGTGACACAAATGTATTAATATCACTCCAGATTACATCGAGGTATGATAGTCATAGAAACAATGACATCTGAACTTGCATGCAACCTAGACACCATGCAAAAAGGCGATTAGTGACCTCTCGAAGGACATAACATCCGAGCGGATTTTAGTATTTCTGCGTCGCTGCCTACCCAAGGCTGGTCTTCTAATAAAATGTGTCTATATTTAAAAGTTTCCATCGTTTGTTAGCCGCCCAAAGTTATTAATAAATGTGACTGAATGCTCCTGCTCATGTCCTGTCAAACAATATTCTTTCGCATTTTGTGGTCTAACTGACGAAGCGCATGGGTGAGCCCTGAAATTGGTTAGGGCTAGGTGCGGCCCAGGTTCGACACTGTGCGACATGAAGGGGAAGTGGGGACAACGGAAAGGGGATGTGGGGAGCGCGGGAAGGGGATGTGGGGACGACGGGAAGGGGATGTGGAGAGTGTGCGGGAAGGGGATGCGGGGACGACGCGAAGGGGGTGCGGGGACGACGGGAAGGGGGTTCGGGGACGACCGGAAGGGGGTGCGGGGACGGCGGGAAGGGGGTGCGGGGACGACGGGAAGGGGGTGCGGGGACGAAGCGAAGGGGGTGCGGGGATGACGCGAACGGGGTGCGGGGACGACGCGAAGGGGGTGCGGGGACGAGGCGTAGGGGGTGCGGGGACGACGCGAAGGGAAAGCAGGGACGACAGAAAGGGCCGCTTCCCGTAGTGGCCCGAGCGGACGACGGGAAGGGGAAGCGGTGAAGCGGGGACGACGGGAAGGGGAAGGGGGGACGACAAGAAGGGGAAGAGGGGACGACGGGAAGGGGAAGCGGGGACGACGGGAAGGGGAAGCGGGGACGAAGGGAAAGGAAAGTGTTGACGACGGGAAGGGCATCGCGATTTTTTTTGAAACCACAAAATGTACACTGTCGCTTTACTTGCGGAAAAGCTTGGGAAAAGCTCCGGCGTGCACATTTCAGGCTCCGGCGCAGAAGTGACTTCCACGCAACAAATGGCCTTTGACTTACACGCAACTGTATTCTTACAATTGTCTCTTTCTTGTTGCATATTACATTTCACGATGGCCATATCTTGCACATCCCTACACTGCACGTGATACAGGACACATCGTCGGCAGGCATGTTGCACCACAGCTACCGTCAACAAGCTGTTGGGGTCTATATCACAATCAGTGATGTGTCGTGCAGCTAATATTCAATGTATCATCAGTTAATTAGCACAAACCTATTGATTAATAATACCCTAGTATTCGCAAAGGACTTGCACACATGGATAATACGTTTGATCGAAGCGACGTTGATAATCTCGTGCATGTCTGGCTCCCGTCCAGGCTTAGCTGTGTGCAGAGCGTCTGTGGACACACCCCTACCTCCTCGTAGCAATTCATGAACACGTATGCTCCCTCCTTCCCACTGCGGTTTACTGCCCTGAAAATATAGAGACAACGCACATACCACCACTCCTCTTCCGTTCGTATTGCGATGTCGCTAAGCCACTTCTCCTTGGGGCTTGCCTTCACGAACATCCCCTTTGGTACCAAGTACCCTCTTCGTACTGGGGATGGCCACGGCGGTGTGCACTTGCGTGGAATGGGTGGATGTGTACCGGATGTGTCCACAGTCAAAGAAGTATGGATGTTTCTGATGTCTAATATTCATCTTGCACGATAAATGTTTCAGACAAATGTCAAGTCCTTCTGCGGCCATGAGAGTCTTCAGCATGTCGAACTTGCTCCCCACTGTATCCCAATACAACATCTACATGGGATCATCGCCCGCCTCGAGACACATGGTCTTGCTGGTGCGTGTTAGAGCTAGCTTCATTGTGCGCACAACCTGTGCGGTGGAACGTAAGAACGGTGACATATCGTCAGTGCTGTTACATCGCACGGCACTTTCCTCATAAAGTACAATCAACATGCGCCAATCTGCTTACCTGATGCACCCGTTGCTTACCTCTCTTAGAGCTGTGTAGTATGTTTTGCTGCTGCTATCTCCTTAGTGATCTCACGCCGTATCTCCTCCTCGACAATCCTCCTTGGGATGTCTTTCTTATTGCTCCCTTATTGCGATGTCGTTACTGATGTGCACGACTTCGTGCATCTTCACCAAGTTTCTCTTCAACTTCTGGTCTGGGAATGCCTACTACAACGCCGCTACCAGCCTACGCATGTCAACAGCGGACGATATAGTCACACTTTGTGCCAATATGGCCGCACATTGGACAAATAAATACCACTAACATGGCCACTTACGATATGGCAATTGTGACTCTTGTGTGTTTCGTCACGGCCAGCAAGGACTTGTAAAACACCGCATAGTGTGAACGCACGCACCTCCGCATCTCTCTTTGCCCGCTCCTCCGCCCTACGCACAGATCAGCTAAGATGATCGGGAAAATCTGCATCATTCCACGGTACTCGAAGGCTGTATGATTTGCCCCGCTGCGGAAAAATGACGAGCCACCCGGGATGCGCACAAGGACACTCCTTGTGTCACCCTTCACGCCATGCTTCCGGCTGCTCCACCCACCCGGCACAACAATGAGACGGAAATCCATGTTATAGTGATGCAAGCCACTTCTGACTGCAGTTGGTCAAACCTGGAAGACCACCTCTATTCACCACTCAAACACTCTGATCTCGGGCTTGCTCTTCCCTCCAGGAAACATGTGGCCATAAGAATCAGCACACCGGAATCGAGAACGTGCAAAATATCTCCCACGCATGCTAGGAACACGTTACCCCACTCCGTCCCTGAGAAGTTCCACCGTTCCAGTACGCTCTGAAAAGGCCGGGCGTATTGTCGGTCATTCCTTTCGCGCAGAATGGTTCATACCCCAACAATTGTACGCCATCATCATGAGCGTGTACACGAAGGCAGCATATCGCCATTGCATATGTACCGCGATCGGATGCGTTGAACGTCTGCATTGAACCTTCGCAGCGTCTTCCACCATTGGAGCGCTAAGAATTCTTGCCGCTGCGTGCCTCTCCCTCTTCACCGTACGAACAATAAACTTGTGTGTCAGCTCATTGAGGTGCTTCCTCTTAATGTAGCAGCTTGAGCATGGTCGGTGTGATGCCTGTTGCATGTTTGCTGTGGCACGGTACCCTTCAGGATAGTCGCCGATAAATGCAAATAGGCACGGATATGCCTTCACCACACCTCCTGCCCCATCCAACACATCGAAGTATCGTACAGGACCACTGTGCACATTGGCAGATAACCACGTATTTGTTAGATGATGCTCAATATCTCTGGCATACCATGCGGCCCACCACATACAATACGTGCACTTACTCCCTGCTCTCTCGCATCAACGGGCCCATCACGATACGATACGCCTCCTGATACACCCGAGTCTTCTCCGTCGCTGATGCCCACTCGGGCGGAAAAGGGAGCACACCCACCATCGCGTGTCCAGGCTCTCGCCATCTTAACTCCTTGGGAACATTGACCAACCCCATGAGCATGAGCCATACCCGTAAACGTCCATTCCCCAACGCGTACGTGCTGTCATTGCAAATATGACACCCAGCACCATTGAATCCTCCTCCTGCAGGTGTGCTAGACGAATCCTCCTCCAGCGGCACCATTGAATCCTCCCTGCTAACGATACAGGCATTCCAAGTAGGCCAGTCCTATCAACATCGTGTTCACACCTGACATTTGTACCCTCCAACAATTACTTGCCTATGCGTCTTCCAGCCAAGTCCCTGTGTCCTGCATACTGACATGTCGCGTATCCTCCGTATCCTCCGAATCTCACCTTGGCCATTTGACAAACCCCTTTACATTGATAAATGTCTTCACTATCTTTTGCGACATCTGCTCAAATGTTGACACCATTCCTGTATTAGAGCCGCTACACCGACATGGTCAATATCAACACCACTCCATGGCTCGTATGTCTATTGGCTCACCAGCTTGGTGTCCCAGTACAGCAATTCCAGCATCTTTTATCTTCCTCCTAGACCCCGAGCCTCAGTCTCGGCCTTGAGCTATGGCACCATGCCATCTGGCGCATATTCTTCCCCATAACGCCGAACATCCGCGACGTTTTGCCACCGACGAACCGCTACTGGATCGAACCCTGTGTGGTTGAATATGTGCAATACGCGATTTATATCTATCTGACAAATCTGCGTCTTTGAAGAACATGAACAGCTCATTCAGAGTTTCGAAAAGCTCTCCAACTGTGGAAACGGAGCCATCTTCAGACGACGACAGATACTCGCGCACTCGGTTCGCGTTTTCGGGGGACTCTAAAAAAAACCTGAACTACGCGTTGGACGCCTCCACGCTACCCAGTCCAGACTCAATATCAGACTCTTGCGGACCCTGTCCCACTGCCGCCAACGCCTCTGCCAACGCCTCCACTGCCCGACTCTCCAATCTCTCAAGCAGCGTGTCTCGGCACGTGCCATTGTAGTACAGATGGCTTCACAATGCGTTGTTCGACTCGAGCTCATATCCACATGCCCCACACCTGTTCCCTACCATACTTACTAAAGTGGGACACCAGGGCCTACAATGAAGCCATTCCCCACCCAGCACTTGCCACCATACCTATCAAGTTGTCTTGCATCTTCTTCGTCCTACACTATCTAAACACTACCATCAGTTGGTCTACATGTCTCTCACTACGCACGACCATCTCCTACGTTACACCATGCGCACCGTACGTCCATCTCCTAAGTTACACCACGCACACCGCACATCCATCTCCTACGTTATACCACGCGCACCGCATGTCCATATCCTACGTTACACTATTGTATACATGACATATCATATCGCACTTCCATCTCCTACATGACACCCCGTGGACCTATTGTATAAAATTGGGTCAACGCCATTTAGGCTGAATAAATCGCGTCTACGATTCGTGGGGAGGTCATCGGTAACTTGGAACCCTAACCAGCTTCAATGTCGTACATTCGCTCCAAGAAGCCGCGATCGGAACATCCGTGAACTGTATCCTCGGTATAGTAAACCGCCGCATATCTTCGATACCTTACTGTACCTGTCACGACCCTGTAATGTTTCAAATCCGAAAAAATAGTTTAAACCATTTCACGGAGATATTGTGGATTAGCATCATTCCATTCGGTTCACCAATATGTTGCACATGAACCCACAAAATCCTACTGCCCATTTTTTGACATCCGCCATGTCAACATACGGTCACACGGTCCACCATGGCTACCACACACATGGTGACAGGATACAACGGAGTTCTCGCTAATGCCTTCCGTAGCGCACACGCTTGGTACGACGTCGCGGCATGAGACGGTCAACAAGATCCATAAGGAGCAACGCTCCATCGTAATTAGCGGGCCGGGTCTCATCTGCCACATCACCACGGAGTTTATAGGCTATCATAGGTATAGCACTGCCTCAAACATTTAGCATACGACCTCTTACCCTCTGAGTCGCGTCATGAGTATGCCTGCGCCTCAACGAACGCCGCCCAGACCCGTTGGTCCCTCAGATATCCTATAGGACATGTATGCAACATGTGCGTATGCACCGTTAGTCGGCATGAATGGCATAGGGTTCAGTAGATACCTCGACGGGCGTTCACTTGCACAGCCAGTGTAGTCGTGTTAGACACACTGGTATCCGGAGATGCCGCACCCGCCGAGCTAGGTATTGAGTTAGCGGGAGGGTCGGAACCTTAATCATCTTCGGAGATCCGATTTGACGGGCGTTCACTTGTACAGCCAGTGTAGCCGTGCTAGACGCACTGGTATCCGGAGACGCCGCACCCGCCGAGCTAGGTATTGAGTTAGCGGGAGGATCGGAACCTTGAACATCTTCGGAGATCCGATTTGCGCAGCCACTGTAACCACCAAAAATATAATGCGAA